GTAGTAGTAGTAATAGTAGCAGCAGCGGCAGCGGTAGTCGCGTAGTAAGCGTCGTCGCCGTAGTCGAAGCTTCAGTCGTCGTCGCAGTCGCCGTCGCAGTCGTTATCGTAGTCGCAGTCGTATTTATAGTCGAAGTAGTAGTCGTAGGCAGTCGTAGTCGCAGTAATCGTGGTGGAATCTTTGCCAGCTGTCAGGCAGCTGCACAAAGGGGGCTCAAGCAAAAATCATATCTAAGCCCAAACCTTGATTCCCTTTCACGCCGACTTGCACCTATTGAGCCTCGCCCGGCATGTCCGAGCTCTGAGAGCCTAATTCCCTCAAAGGCATCGCCCTTCGGCTGGCCTTTGTCGCCCAACAATTGGACCTTTGCTGAGCAGAGGGATTGGCACGACAGGCCGGCCCGGCGCCTGTCTTCCCAGAGAGTCCAAGAGCTATTTTTGAATAGAATACTTTACATCATAGCATGATCATACTACTTATGGGACCCCCTATTACTTGAGGCGGGTTCCTTACTGGCTCCTCGGAATGAGCGCCAGCGTTGGCAGGGAGTGTAGGGTTTGTTTGGGCTCAATGCAGTCCTACTGACCTGTATATGTTGAGGTAGCTTGTTTTCGAAGCCGTAAAGGGCTTCAACATTCAATGTACTCCTCCGGCACCCACTGATCGGAATGAGCAGGAGGCAACTTTCCGCAGTCTGCTGGGTGCATTTCAGACCTCTACGAGTGCCAGCGCCGAAACACGACCCTCTTTGAACGCCCTAAGCCTTGAGTAGAACCCCCAAAGCCCAAAACCCGAAATCCAGGATCCCCGCCCCAAATCCCTGAAACCCGAATCCCAGAGCCATATCTGCAGACAAAAATCCTATATCCCACGCTCAGAACACTAAATCGAGATTCTCACTCTTTCAGGTTTCTCGCCTGTGCCGGCGAGCGCCAGTCTCCCGTAAACGTGCTCACGACCGGACCGTGCGTCCACAATGGCGGGCAGGAAGGGCGTGCTGTCGTCATGATGATGATCAGGTTTGCTTTTCTTGTTCTGCTGTCACTGCTGTGACGACAGCACTAAAAACTGTTGCAAGAGGGAGGAAGTACTATATCCCCTGGTTTATACCTCAAAACTAAGCTGTGGTAATGGGCTCCTGTTCATTCACGTCGTTTACCTGCTTCGGATCCAACCCTTCGGAAGTCGGAAATCCTTGTCGTACTTGGTGCGAGTACCACGGCTTTCATCACGAGCTGCTTGGTTTGGAAAGTGTGCTACTTAGGAATGGGTGGTATTTCCTTGGCATGACCGTCAGTATTCAGTCTTCTGGCTCGTGTTGCGATGCTACCATCACTACTATGCTCCACATTCTGAGAGCTTCGCAGTCTGCGACCACCGAGTAGAGTCTGCGGTGCCCATCGGTGGGACGTGATTGGTCAAGCGATGCCTAGGGAGGGTCGATGAAAGCAGAGGGATGAGTCGAGCTTGTATTGATTATGTCTTATACATTGTATACTATATATTAGACAGCGTATACTATATAGTATACATTGTATATTATATTTTGTATATTAAAAAGTATGATGTTGGGGCAGCAGCAGCAGCAGCAGCAAAATTTCGTTGCAACACCTGCGGTGGATATCTGGATATGGGGGTCGGCGAAGCATCCTCCTACTCGTGGATTCCGCCATTATCTTTAACACCGCCATCATTATCATCGTGAATCGTCATCAAGAACGTATGCTAGTGCTGCTGCGAGGTCGAGACGTTTATGCAGAGACCATGACGTCTGATACCTAGTCTTGTGCGTGACCCCCGGCATCGTTCGCATTCGTGACAGACAATCATGAACTGAAGGTTTGTCTTCCTTGTCTTATTGTCAGAATCAGTACTCCCTCGAGCTAGCAGCTATCAGAACTCAACTCAAAGCGCGCATGGCAGTATCTTGATGGACCTATGAACTCTTGAACAGCCCTATCTATGTTGCCACTCTCTCCTGGTCTTTTCCCGCCTGCGCTGCAGGATGGACAGCTGGACGGAAGGGCGATGTACACCGTGGCTGGTGGTACCCCTCAGGCGCCTTATGCCGGACAGTGGATCTTGATATCGCCCTTAAGGGGGGGCGGCTTGATCTTTGCCGAAAGCATCAGCGAAAGGTGCAGCAGCAACCACTGTAAGAACAATGAAAACAACAGCCGGCACACTGGAGCTGAACGACGAATTCATTTTCGTGCGTTTCGATATGCACTGTTGCAAAGACATGTTCATTAGTGCTTATGCACATATGTACGCGTAAATGTATTTGTACACGTAGATGTCTATGTATCGGACTCTGTATATGCACATGTTCATGTTTATGTGTATGTAGCTGCAGACGTACAAGTGCATGTACATGTACATGTGCGTGTGCATATGTATATGTGCAAAAGGAACACGTGCAGTACGTATGTGTGCATGCTGACTGGGCGTCTGTACAAGCAATTTGCAACTGCCTAACCACATGATGTCTGGTTGGTTCTAAGCTTGCTGTTGTACAACTCGCGATGCAATACGACTTAAGTTGACTGCTGGTGACCCGTGACCCAATTCGGTGTTTCGGAGGGACAGTCGGACAGTGAGGGCTAAGAGTACCCGCAGCGCCTGCAGGAGGAGCTGTTTCCTTTCGTTTCCTCTGGTACAGATTTGTTGGGGAAGCGTTTCGGTCCGTCTCGTGATTAGCGACGTCAGGCAAGGGTTGCACATGAACCCTCTACGCTTTCTTTTAATAAGGTCCCCGTAGCTTGTAATGCAGGCTAATGCAGGGGGCCTTTTTACGACTTTTGTCCAAGCGAATCCTCAATCGAGGGATTGATTGGTATCTTTGTGGGTCTTAGGAACAGTCAGAGTTTCAAGCAATTTCGGGTGATCTTGGGCGTTGAATGCTGGAATGCATCAACCCCAACAGCCCTAACACTTGAATCTTGCGGTGAACCAAGCTATGTGGCAAGGAAGTCCATGTCAATTTCAGCAATTCGGCTAATCATGCAGAGCGACACAGGCTGAGCAACATGACGATTCATGGCAGCAGTGTAGAACAGTAGGACTTCCAGGAAGAACAAACAACTTCAGGAATGGGCCAAACACAATTAAACAGTTTAAACGGAGGTCGGGGTTCGGCATGTTCATGCATGTTTAAGCATTTCGGGTTGGCACGTTTGAACATGCAGGAATCATTTCGCGGGTGCCGCGTGTTTCAACATTTTGTTTGTGTGGCTACCTGCAGTAGTTCTTCCTAGGAAAGTAGCTCCTGACACCTGATGAAAGGCAGCGAAGGCTTTTCTGTGTCAAGCAAAGTAGACCTTGAAGCTCAAGGGCACTCCACTCTGGAGCACCCCTCCATTATTGAACTCACCACCAGAGTATTCAGGCGGCTTCAACCATTTACACTAAACCGTTTAAGCGTTTCAAACGTCCAGCTTGTCATACCTTGCCTTCAGAAGCACAGCTCCAATGCTCAAGACGCTTAAACCGTCTAAACGCCCCAGACATCAGCTTCTCATACCTTCAGAATTACAGCTCCAACGTTTAAAACGTTTAAACCGTCTAAGTCTAGTGCCCCAACGTCCTGTTTCTCATACCTTCAGAAGTGCTTCTCTAACATTCAGACCCTTCAAAAGCTTAAACCGTTTAAATGCCCCAAACATCCTGCTCCTCATACCTTCAGAAGTGCTGCTCCAACGTTTAAACCGTTTAAACGATTAAACGGGCTACATGCCCCAGACGTCCTGCTTCGCATACCTTCAGAAGTGCTACTCTAGCGTTTAAACCGTTTATTAAACGTTAAAACCCTTTAAACGTATAAACCGTTTAAACTGTTTAAACGTATCAAATGTCCTGCATGTCATACTTGGAGCAGTTCCGCTCCAACGTTTAAACCGTTGACTGTTTTTTGCCGTTTGGACGCCCCAAACGTCCGGCTTCTCATACCGTCAGAAGTGCTGCTCCAAAGTTGAAGCCGTTTAAATGTTGAAACCGCTGAAACGCACCAAACGTCCTGCTTCTCATAACTTCAGAAGTGCTTCTGCTTCTCCAACGTGTAAACCGATTAAAGAACGATTTCAACGCCCCAAACGTCCTACTTCTCATAACTTCAGAAGCGCTGTTTCGACGTTTAAACCGTTTAAACGTTTGAACGATTTAAAAGCCCCAAGCGTCCTGCTTCTCATTCCTTCAGAAGTGCTGCTCCAACGTTTAAACCGTTTACATGTGCAAACCGCATAAAGGTATCAAATGTCCTGCTTGTCATACCTTGAGAAGTGCTGCTCCAACGTTTAAACCGTTGAAGCGTATACACCGGTTAAATGTATCAAATGTCCTGCTTGTCATACCTTGAAAAGTGAGGCTCCAACGTCTAAGCCGTTCAAACGAAAAAACCGGCTAAACGTATCAAATGTCCTGCTTGTCATACCTTGAGACTTAAGTGCTGCTCCAACGTTTACACCGCTTAAACGCTTAAACCGTTTACACTGAATCAGTGCCTTGGGGTCTAGGATTTAGATCCTTCGGGGTTTCAGTGTTTCAAATCGTTTCAGTTTTACAGTCTTCGGGGTGGCCCTTGCTTTAGCAAAGTTGAAGGCAAACGGAGTGCATGGTGCAATTCATGTTTAAGCATGCAGCATGTGCGTGTTTAAACAGTTGTTTGTTTAAACCGTTTGGCGCTTAAACAGTGTTCAAGCATTTAAAAACAATTGCAGTTGCGGGGCCCCTTTGTTTGAAAAAATCCGGCGTTCAAACTGTACATGTTTCAACAGAACCCTCTGTCCAACCCTGGGAAACGTCATCAGACATGAATCATTCCACCAGTGCAGTCTCTGAGGGTTGTGGGGGATTCATGGCCGTTTCTGCCGCGACGGCTGCCGTTCCTGTCCCTACCGTTGCTAGTGTTGTTTCCGCCAACGTGAAACTCGAAGCAAGGAGAACTTCTGCCAAAAGATACTGTTGGTATTCTGGTTTCGTAGTTCCAGATGCCAAAAGGACGGGCCTGACGGGATACCGCAGGTCACCGTGAGTCCCTACATGCGGTCCGTGATGTTGGAGGCCGACTTTGGCTCCATCATGCTACAGGACAAGTATTTCTGTGCAGTGCTTGCTCTCTGGGTGCAAGAAATCCCAGTGACCCCACTTGCCCTAAACTCTAAACCCTAAACCCCTAATGCAAAGGACGACACCGGGCGGGACGTTGAGTACACGGCACACCAGGCCAGGTAGTGAACCCGCAAGAGCCGAAATTGAGCCTGCGAACACATAGTGTGCCTGCCGTGCTGGCCACGACATGCCATGAGCCTTCACCACACGGTGTGTATTTTGTGAGTGTGTTGCGGCTGCTGTTGCTGTTTTTATTTGTTGCTGTGGCTTTGCTGTCGTCGTCGTTGCTGCTGTTGTTGTTGCTGTTGGCGTCGACGTGGTTTTGTTGTTGTATGTTGCTGTTGTTGTTGTTGTTGGGGTCCCTGCTTGCATTTTCTGTTCTACCTTGTCTTGAGAGGACACCGGCAGTGCTACCAGTGGTAGCACTAGAAGTAGAGTAGCAGAAGCGCAAGTGGTAGCAGAAACAGCAGCAGTAGCAGGAACAGCAGCAGAAACAGTAGCAGTAGCAGTAGGGGTAGGAGACTCGATACCATTCCTACTGCATCCTGCTGCTGCTGATAACGTCGGCAATGCTCATTGTTATAAGCATGGCTCTGATTCAGAAAGTTTGGTTAGGTAGCCTGGCTTTAGTTGTAGCTATATGCAGCCATGATGCGTGTTGCAACTTTTGCCCTTTCTTCTGCGCTGTTCTAGGTCTGTACGGTTTCTACCCAGTTCGCAGATCGCAATGCTTGTGTCCGTGGTCGGCTGACAGATCCACCTCTCCGCGGACAGCTGGCATGCGTTGAATGGTGCGCCGGCAGCGGTGGCGGTCTCAGAACGAAGTGCTTTGCGCGCGGTATCAAAGAAAGCCACAGCTCCAGAGTTGCTGTCTAAGCCGTCTGGTGTGTAAGCTCTGTCGACACTGCGTGGGGTGTAGATCCCTCTACATATATATATATATATACACATACATATGTGTCTATATATAAGCATACAAAATACATACAGACGTATGTATGTATGTATGTATGTATGTATGTATATATATGTATATATTTATTTTTTTACATACATACACTGAAATGGAGTCATCGCGCCGAAGTCGCCTCCCGATGGCTGCCCCTCGGATCCCCGACTCGGACGGGTTCCCAACGGTGGAGAGAAGGAAAGGAGAGAATGGTCATGTAGTGAGTGTACATATACACACACCACAGACGATCATATATGTATATACATATATAATATAATTTGCTTAACACTACAACATAACATAACAAATATATGCACACACATATGTATATATATATATATATACGCGGAGTCTTACAGCAACCCTTGGAGTCTTGCAGTACAATTACTTATAGTATTGAGCGAGGGGCGTGGGTTTTTTGTTGAGTCGAACCGAAGCAGCGCCTTAGTACTTCCGTAGGGGGATTGCAGTCGTTGTGTTGTACCCGGGTAATCTGGGTAGCCTGAGTACAACCCGAGCCGCGACAGCGATTCGAGATAGAACGTCCGGTGTTCAACATACAGGTTATGTGAGGCGCATGCGGTTTTCATCCGGACATCAATAGCGGGCCTTAGCTGAAGCGAAACCCTTCACTGAACAGGTTTATGTTCACGGCCAAGTGAGCGGATTCGTTCTTCAGTCTCGGGTTCCAGCCTCCTGGCAGGGAGGTTTATCTATATCTATGTATACATGTCTGTGTATACATACATACATGTCATACATACATACATACATACATGCATAGAGAGCCATGGCAGGTCCCGACCGGCCCTCAGAGTTCTTTGCCACTTCAGGCGGAGCTCATGATCCTGCACAAGCCCAAGGAGGCCAGCGACATGATCAAGGGCGGTGTGGCCAGGAGCTAAGAGTTCCAGCCTGCCCAAAGGGACGAAAGGAGGCGGGGACGTCGGCCTTGAGGTAGGAGTTTGTAAATTTTTTTGACTCTGGAAAAATGCTCTGTCTGGCTGAGATCGTGAGCGTGATGTTTGAGCATGACGACGCTGCGGACAGCCCGCTCTTCGAGCACCTGGCTATGCCAAAGGACTGTCACAGATGTACAAAAGCCCAAAGCCGCTGCTCCGCCACGGATCGTCGCGAGCGTTTTCCGCCGGAAGTCCCTTGACAGGAGGGCCCGGAAATGGAAGCGCTGGGCTCATGGCAGCTGCCTCACTACGTGAACCTCTTGGACAACCTTCAGGAGCCCCTAGTACTATAGACTATGGTGTATGTGTATATATATATGTGTGTGTGTATGCATGTATGTATGCATGCATGCATGCATGGATGTATGTGTGTATGTGTGTATGTGTGTATGTGTGTGTATGTATGTATGTATGTATGTATGTATGTATGTATGTGTGTATGTATGTATGTATGTTTGTTTGTTTGTTTTGTGCTCGGAAACAGTACTGGAAGCTGGCAAAAATTGCTTGCTGGAGACTGTGGTCGAAACGACCTTGGTGGCTGTGATTTCGTTGGCCTCTGGCCACTCTTTGTAGTCTGGTTCCCCCTACACCTCGCCTGACTCGTCGAGCGCGAGTGCTAAAAATGTATGTATGTATGTATGTATGTATGTATGTACGTACGTACGTACGTACGTATGTATGTATGTATGTATGTATAATATGGTATAATATACTCTGATATATAATATATAGACGATAATGGACTATACTATACAGATACAGGTGAGGGCTAACTTGTTGTTGCAGGGCGCTCTGGTCTCAAGCGTATCGGATCGCAATGGACCTGTGCCCTCAGCCCTTTGGGACACAAGGGGTGAAGCAGAGTCTGGGTCTCATGAGGCCTCAGAAGTTCAGCAGTCTGAAGTCTCAACCTTAAAGGAAACGGGTCTTTAGGATAAGCACTATAGGAATGTACACGACTTCAAGAGCTGTGGTTCTTGGACGAGAGCCCGCCGTATGCCACACTCTAGCCAGCTTCGAAGCCCCCCAGCTGTGTGATCTCGACTGCCCTCTGCCTGTGACTGCCTGGAGGACGTACTGAAAGGTGCAACCTACCAGTACGAGGGTTCTGTGCCTGTTCCGGCCTTGGTGATGGCGTGCGGTGCAGAATCGTGAAGCCTTAACCCGGCACTCCGGGACTCTGCGGCGGTGAGGATCTATCAGGCTGTACTGCTGTTTACCGCCATATAAAGCTGAAGCTAGTATTTGCGTTCTGGATCTGCGCTAGTTGCTTATAGCGTAGCAGCATATGAGATGCAGTGACAAGTTTAGGCCATGGTTCTTGGAATCCCTGGGAAGCAATACCAGAGAAGTCCATGCTCGGAACCCGTCCCAGCTTGAGCAAACTTCGACAATGACTCGAAGATTGCAAGCCCACAACTTTGTCGAGGCTTGTCTGCGGGGCACTCCCAGCCCTCGACCCTAAACCCTAAAACCTCGCCTGCATTGTCCACGTTGCGAGAGTCCCAATTCGATAACTTGACGTACCCTCCATCACAGGTTCGTCCCCGAAACCCAAGAACACCCTGAAGCTGGAGTTGGCTCCGGCTCGCTCATTCTACCCAGACGGCCTGACGGGGATAATTCGGGGCTCGCGGAAGACTCCCAGGTGCCGCCCTGCACTGAGAACATCAAGTACCTAGTCATGGGCCAGGCGCGGCGATCCAAAGAGTGGTCCAAGGAGCTGTTGAAGGGCCCATTAACTTTGCAGGGGTTCCATGTGGTTTTATGCTGGCTTTGTAGTGACGTGGGGCCAGCATTTCATGACGACAGCTGCAGGGGCTAGTGGTAAGACGGCACAATCTTAGTGGAAGTCGATGCAGTCAAGAAACTGTCGACATCAAGAAGCGTGGCTGCAGGAAGCATCGCACAGACGTGCTCATTCATCGTCATGATTAGTATTTCCATGTGTGGTCTAGCTCCTGTTCTTTTTTGGTGTCGCTAGCTTTATGCTTCTTATGCCCTTTGACATACACTCAGCGTTTAAGAAGCTCTTATGACTGTTGCAGGATTGAGGCGGCGGTAGATCTTTAACTACTTATGGGTTCAGAGCACCCGAATCGAGTGACGAACGAAAATGCTGCAATCTTCCAGCTCATCAAGCTTCTAGCTGCGCTCGTGCTGGGAGTTTTGTCCGACACCATGGCCAGCAGCCTCGGCGAGCTCGTGATCGTGGCTCACAAGTTCCTCACCGCCCCGCAGGCGAGCCCACAGAGCTTTTGCAACGTGATCAAGCTGGGCACCTTCTGCCGAACAGTGGTTTGGCCATGCCTGCCGCCCGTTCTCATGTACCAGTACATCCGTGGTAAGGACGACGACATGTACGCGATCGATGTCCTCTATGCCAAGTCTGGCTCCAAGGAACCTAAAGCCTTCTACGACGCGTCCCGCTTGAAGGGATCCAGCCACTGGCGCATGCAGCAGGACCTGGAGACCATCCGGGCGGCCGCTAATGCCGAGTAGACAGATGCCGCGCAGCACTTTTGATTTCCGATAAACGAAGGGGGAGTCTTGCCACCACGCGTTCTGAGAGGCAAAACGCGCTCCCGCACGTGTCTGCCGGTTTATCAGGAGTTTCTCTCTGGGCGATTAGCAAAGGGGGCGCAGGTAACACTTTAGGCGAGTTCTAGTTGGTTGCGCTTCGTGTGAAAGATTCCGCTGAGCTTCGTTGTTTGCTGCAGTGAAGTATTTACCCCTGCTTTTATACGACTGCCAGTCGGGCTCCCATGGTTGTGCGAACCCCAAGTCTGCACTGAGACGTCGCCATGGCCGGCAGCCTCGGCGAGCTCGTGATCGTGGCTCACAAGTTCCTCACCGCTCCGCAGGCGAGCCCACAGAGCTTTTGCAACGTGATCAAGCTGGGCACCTTCTGCCGAACAGTGGTTTGGCCATGCCTGCCGCCCGTTCTCATGTACCAGTACATCCGTGGTAAGGACGACGACATGTACGCGATCGATGTCCTCTATGCCAAGTCTGTCTCCAAGGAACCTAAAGCCTTCTACGACGCGTCCCGCTTGAAGGGATCCAGCCACTGGCGCATGCAGCAGGACCTGGAGACCATCCGGGCGGCCGCCAATGCTGAGTAGGCGGTGAACATCTCCGGCTGCATGAAGCAAGCCGAACTCCACTCGGTTTTGGTGTCCCGTGTTAAATGATTGGGACAACCTCGCGCTGCAAAAAGGCAGAGACATTCAGAGAGAGTGCCATAGATGATGCCATGTGATTGCCATTCGTAGCTGTTGAAGAGTCAGCATACACGCTTGGCATCCTTGTCGGTTTGCCCGTTTGTCTGCATCTGGTGTGTTTGCTTTCTGCGCATGTGAGGGCTCGAAGGCAAGCAGTGCGCATCCATCGGCCCCCAGCCAGTGCGGGCCATCAAGACTCAGATAGCCATGGCCGGCAGCCTCGGCGAGCTCGTGATCGTGGCTCACAAGTTCCTCACCGCTCCGCAGGCGAGCCCGCAGAGCTTTTGCAACGTGATCAAGCTGGGCACCTTCTGCCGAACAGTGGTTTGGCCATGCCTGCCGCCCGTTCTCATGTACCAGTACATCCGCGGTAAGGACGACGACATGTACGCGATCGATGTCCTCTATGCCAAGTCTGGCTCCAAGGAACCTAAAGCCTTCTACGACGCGTCCCGCTTGAAGGGATCCAGCCACTGGCGCATGCAGCAGGACCTGGAGACCATCCGGGCGGCCGCCAATGCTGAGTGACCTGCCAGCGGCTAACTGGCAGACGCCCCAGGCTATGTTCACGTTTCATGACCAGAGCTTTTTTAAAGCCACCGCTGGAGGAAGTCCAGTGACTCCAGGGGCAGAAACTCTGGATTGAGGCGCGCTGGACTCGAGATGCAACGCTTGCGAGCCCCGTCAACAGCGAAGCTGCGAACCTGATTCAAAAGTGCGCATGCTGCATGCAAGATTCGAGCCGGCGTATTTGGAGAAGAATCTAGGCATTGTTACTTCTGGCCAGAGTTGTTTATGTCTAACCATTGGTATTGTATTGCACTTAGTAACTTTGTCTTATTATCATTGCTACCTGGTTATCATAAGGACTTACTGTCATCAGTGGTATGGATACTGTCAGACTGATCATGTGTGCGGCCTTGGAAGTAGCACCCAGAAAAAGTGGCTGCATCAGCAGCAGCCGTCCTCCTCGTGGGGGCAGGTTTGTAGGCCGGAGCTGCACCTCGAATTCCAGCTAGGGCCTACTTGGAGGTTCATGGTTAGTCCTAAGAGGGTTATAAGTAGGATGACTATTGTTACAACCCATACTACAGGACCTGCAACCCCGCTTATAACTACCATGAACCTCCGTGTAGATATGTTCAAAGACAAAGGCCTCCACCTTCGAGCGGCACCCCTGAACTCTAGGATTTTCTAGGAATTTCTAGGAATACCCCCGAAGGCCCTAAACCCTAAACCCACCAAGAAGTACCCTATATTTTTCCAAACCGCAGGTAAAGTTTTGAGCGTGTGCGAAGTTTTGATTCTGCACCCGCGTCCGGAATCCCGCAGCTGCTGACGGGTTGAATCCAGAGCCCACCAAACCGTGATCAGAAGCTCAGCCCTGCACCTTATACTAGAATGGAAGAGAACAGAATATTGCGGAATACACTAGAACAAAATAGAAGTGAAGACGATAGACTAGAGTTAGACCAAGCCCAAAAGGCTCCTCCTCGCTTCGTTCGCCAGGCCTTGAAAGTCAGCCCACTTCAGACGGCGAAGCTCCGAGACGTCCTCCAGTGCCTGGCTGGGGGCTACAAGAAGCGCAGCTGGGCCTTTGGGTCTGTCTTCTGAAATTAGGGTAGTTCTCTAAATTAGAGTCCCTTTTGGGGGGTCCTTTTTTATAAGGGTGCCGTACTATTTTTGGGGACCTGCAAAGGGGACCCTAATTTAGAGAACTTCCCGTGTAGGTTTGAAGAATGGCTAAGACTAGGTCTCAGGGTCTCTTAGTGGTACGTATGGTATAGTAAGTGCACACCAAGAAACCAAAGCTACTTGGTTAAGGCCCTTGTACCAGGTTGTAGAGTTTCTAGAGGGATGATGCAACCATCACGATGTTGATGATCACGTTTTGGTTGGATTTTGCTGATGATTGCTCGGATGGCCCTAGACGCAGCACCCTGAAGCCTAAGCCAGCCGCAAACCAGATGAGTCCTGCATCAGACCCTGCATCGTCGGTTCGTCCTATCTAGACCCGAAGCACAGAAGTCACAGAAGCCTTCTGAGACCAATGCCACATTTTTAGTTCCGCTCGGTGATCCCGATGTCGACATCACCGATGGATGAAGAGTTCTACATGCTCATGCGGTGAACCTGGTTACCTTAGGTCCGAGGCCAGGTGGAGGCTCTTTTCAGGATGCTTGTGGCAAGCCTTAAACCGAAGTTGCCCCAAAGAAGCTTTTCGTTCTTCTTCTCCTTTGCCTAAGCTGGAGGGTTTGATGTGAGAAACCCGGGGTCAGATCCCATTCAAGAGCAAGGCAGCCCCATGCCAAATGGGCCCGGCATGTGCCGCGACATCACCAAGAACAGCCTCAAGGCGGAGCCGACTCACCCGACTCTTTCAGCCCTAAAACCCTCAAAACCCTAAACCAATTGCCTGTCCTTGAATGGGATGTTGCTTCCTGTATCACGCCGACTTCGCACCATGAACCTCGCCTGGCTTGTCCGAGTTGTGAGAGCATAAACCCTTCGCATGCCGACACGAGACAACAAGCCTCGCCTGGATTGTCCGACTTGTGAGCGCCGAAACCTTCGCCCCGAACCCACCTCGCCTGCATAGTCCGAGTTGCGTTAAGGATCTCAGCTGTAGGCAGCGGGCTTTTCAGGAGCAGGGCTTTAAGCCAATGTGTTCCTTACTGGTTCCTGTGTAATTAACTGAGACCCCAGCGCCCAACTTCCCCAGAACACCAACAAAACTTGCAGTTTGAGACCCCGACCTGAACGACGCAAACGCCCTAACATTATGGTCTTTCCTTTGGCGGGAGTCCGAGCGCGAGACCATTACCCACATCTCTGCTGGGTGCTTTGTTTTGCAGCGTCTCATACAGGGGAAGCAGGAGGCCAACCTAAAACTTCTGTCACAGGGCCCGTCCGTTCATCCCTAGACACTTCTGAAAGCCCTAAAACCGCAGAGCCCTATGCCTGAAACCCCTTATCTGCCGTGCCTGCCTTGTGCGAGTGTGGGGCTGTTTTAGTGCCCTTGCACCCGTAACGAGGCTCCTTCATAGCAACTTAATCCGAGGATGCTCGATGTGTTTAGAAGAGAATCAAAAAGTCTGAGAAGTGTTTCACCTCAACCGACTATGCTCCAATGATCTCGCCTGGCTTGTCCCAACGCCTAAAAGTGAACCCGTAAGCCCTAAAAGCCCTCAACGCCTAAACCCGAAACCCCTAAGCCCTGAACGCACTAAACCCCAAACCCTACACCCTAAACGCCCCAAATCCCCAAGCCCTGTGCTGAAATGCCCTAAGCGCCCAAACCCTTATCAGTTCAACCGCCCACTGCCGGTTCTTGCTGAGGTGAAGCCTGGACACCATAGCGCAGCAACCTGTCAGGCTCCGTAAAGAGTTGCTGGGTGCTAGGCGTGCTGCTATCATGTAAGATCTTCGGAATTTGTTGTGCTTTCGTTTGATGTTGACTTTGACTTTCCCTCACACAAGCATCATGTAATGACTATTTTCTACTGCAGGTTAGTAGGGCTTTCACTTGCGTTATTTCTGGTTCCACCTGTGTTACAAACGAGGATTATTGTTGACAACACTTTTCCTTACGATTAGATCAACTCTCTGGCAGACCGGACCCGTGGTTTCTTGTCTGGGCTTACGGTTGTAGCAAAGCTTGACAATTGAAAAGGCCGAGGAGGATGGCCTCCGGTGAGTGTGAGAGTCGCCAAAATCGAGCATCGCATCCTGTAGAACACAATGGTTTTGAGTTATGATGGTGACTTCTTACTACGAACTATGATCACGATGATGCCTCCTCTTTCGAAGTACTGCTACGACGACGACTACTACTGTACTACTACGACGACGACTACTACTGTCTGTTTGAAACAAAAAATGGTCACCTCTTTTTGGCGATGAAATTTTGCAAGGCCGCGTGGAGGAACGAGACCTGGTACCGTTTGGCCGACTGCTGGGACTCTCAGATGACCGCCCCTTGGCCTCAAAACGCCCCGAAGACCTGGCCTGAAGAGCGAAGATCTTCTTTGGGCCCATTTTGTTTGGTGCAAAAGGCAACACTGGGCTGTCGTGTATGCTCTAGAATCTAGAAAAGGGCCCTGGGGTTTGAAGGATGTCTTCTTTTTTAATGGTTTTAATGAAGTATGAGGATTCCAAGTCGTTTTTTGTGTGCAAGATTTTCGTTGAGGCCTTCTGTAGGTGCGCCTATGCCCGCGTCGTTTGCGTATTGTTAAACGGGGGTTTCTAGAAGGTCTATAAGTTACTGTAAGTGTTCTAGAAGTAAGGGTGGAAGAGACTTATCTTCGATGGTTTCGATAAGGTTTCCTATGCACGTGTTTGTAAAGCTTTCTGTTTCGTTTAGGTTAGATTTCCAGTTTTTTTGGCAGGGGTTCCTGCAAGGTTTTTGTCGGGTTTAGTTGTGCTGTGAGGTCCTTCTAAGGGTCCATTACGGGAGTTTTCGCACAAACATCAACTAAATTCTAGGCTCTGGTTATCCTAAGGCTTACCCGCGGTGAATTCCAAATCCTTGCAAATCCTATTGCCCAAGAGCTTCAGCATTCGCCTAGTCTAGTCTCCAGTCCTTCCTGGAGCCGTCCGATGTACGCGCAAAAGGGGACTGCGGACACCTCACAATCATTGTTCCTTAAGCCCTCAACCGTTGATCCTAAACCTCGAGCCCTACGAGGAGGGAAAACAAACCTCGCCTCGAAGCCTAAGCACCAAAGCTTGAATCGAAGCCTGCAATGACATCGTCGAGCCTCGGGCCTCAAAGCCGTAAGCGCTGAGCCCACCTATGGTCTTATAGTAGCACCTCAGAAGGTCCCCTTCTTTGGCACCCATCATAGCAGCTCTTATGGGGCCAAGATCCTAAGGGCGAGGAGAAGGCGCAATGCTCCAAGTCTCCCATCAACCTGGTCCCCGAGATGGCCGGCTCTACGGAGGGAGGCTCGGGGTCCTTTCTTCAGACCTTCGGGTGGGGAGGCCCAGGATGTATCAAACGAAAAGATGCATGTATGTATACGTGAACATGTGTTTCTATGCATGCAGGCACGCCTGCATGCCTGCGCACATGCATGTGTATGTATGTATGTATGTATGTATGTATGTACGTGTCTTGATGCGTGTATGTACATGTATGGACATGTCTGTCTGTCTGTCTGTCTGTCTGTCCATGTATGGACATGTCTGTCTGTCTGTCTGTCTGTATGTATGTATGTATGTACGTATGACTATGTATGTTTGCTTTTTGCTTTCTATATGTGTTTACAAGAATAAATGTATATGTGTATGTACATGTCCATGTATAGGTATAGGTACAGGCATGTTGTGTGTATACATGTTATAGATATGTGTATATATATATGCAGATATCCAGTGGTTATTTGTTCTGTTGTGACTTCTGTTGAGTTCCTCTTGGGAGGTTCGCTGAGCTTCAACATGGCCCCAGCAACTTGGCATCCGACATCCAGCACCCTTTGCCTGCCAGCGCTTTCATGGATTTCATGCCCTCCTGACCGCACAAGCCCGTTGCTCAAAGAAGAGACGAAGCGAAGGTCAAGTCGGTGACTGTGACACCAAGCAACTACACCCTGGATGCTCTGCCAAATGTGTGCCTTGGCTGAAAGCCCGGGAGAGCAGAAGGGCCGGAGATATCCTGCGAGGGTCCGCTTGCCAGAAACCCACTGTCGGGGCTTGCACAGAAGGTCGAAGCTGTTGACAGTCATAGCCGCACCAAGGTTTGCAGTGCCCGGAGCCATCACGAACTTTGGGAGCATGGTGGCCACTGCCCTGCAATATGCACAGCTCTGGCCCGTTCCCAAAAGGAATCTCAGAGGCCCCTTAAACCCTAAACCCGGCACCCTCTAAACCCGGAGCCCCAAATGAGGCCCGAAACCCGAAGCCTTAAACTGAAAGCCACCACAAGAAGTCGGAACACGACTTTTTTCCGCGAGTCTGTTGCTCTCCCAAGCTCCGAAGAGCCGCCAAGAAGCGTCAAACCCCAACTATGCCCTAGGCCCTAAGCCCTGAACCCCTAAACCCTAAGCCCTAAGCCCTAAAGCCGAACTTCAATTTGTTCTGCTCTCTGACTCAACTCTGCAATGCGGGCTCGTCCTGGCTAGGTGAGAGGCCAAAAACTTCAATTTGAAGTGCAGCTAAGGTCAACGGCCGAAGCTTCTTGGCGGCGACGTCGCGGTTGAGGAACAGTAACAACTTTAACTTGATTATAGCATAACATAGTATCGTAAGGGCATGCGTAAAGATCATGCTGTATAATACTACCTAGCAGCTTTATTTACGTATCTATTTACTAATTATCTACCTACCTACCTATCTACCCATCTATCTACCTATCTAGCTAGCTAGCTAGCTAGCTAGCTATCTAGCTATCTATCTATAGTTGTAAAGTTACGGGTAACCTCCACCTCTGTACAATGTTAGTCCGATCATGTAGTGCCCAAGAGCTTGACATGAATGTTTGGCTCCAGCATGAAAAGAAGCCCGTGTGAAGCGTGCTTCGCCGTGAGGGTTAGGGTCCTTGTGTTCATTGCCTGCCCCTCTCTTCGTGAACATGCCTGCCCTGCCCTCTTGAGTTGGTGGTTGGGGTCGGAATAACTTCTATCTACCTATCTATCTACCTATCTATCTATCTATCCGTCTATCAATCCATCTATCTATCCGTCTGTCTATCTATCTATCTTTCTTTCTTTCTATCTATCTACCTATCTGTCTGTCTGTCTATCTACCCATAATCTATCTGTCTTTCTATCTATCGATCTATCCATCTATCTATCTATCTATCTTCTATCTATCCATACATATGTATACACATAGTTGTTTGATTATATATTCATGTGTTTTCAGATGTCATTTGTACCTATATGCATATACATATATATGTTTATATGTATGTCTATGACTCTATCTATGTGTAGACGTTCATAATTTTATATCTATATAACTATTTATGTAGTTGTTTGTTGTCTATATATTTGTTGTAACATTATGTAACGATATATCTATACCTCTATGTCTATATTTCTACATCTCCGCTTATCTATATACCGACAAACCTAACCTATATATCTATATATTTACGCACCTCTGCATTTTTATCTTTGTTCTTTCGTTCTGCCTGTACATATACGTAATATGTGTGGAATGGAAACTATATCTATACTTTTAAAAGGATAAGCGCATGTATGTATGTACGTATGCTTGTATGTACGTATGCATATATATATATATATGTATGTATGTATGTATGTATGTATGTATGTACGTATGCATGCATGTATGTACGTACGTACGTATGTATGTATGTATGTATGTATGTATATTTCTATGTAGAGAGAGAGGTGTATATCTGTGTATATACACGGCCTAGTGGGCATTTCCTCAGGTTGAGCCGGGAGTTGGTACATTGGCTGGAGGAAAGTTTTTTGACCGATGCCGGTAACGGTTTAGGGTTATGTGATGTTTGAGAGCTCAGGCTTCCTCATGCACAAGATCTCCGCAACTTGGTTCCGTGTGTGGATTATAGAGCAACTGCTTGATCATGCGCGCGTGTATTTTGCAGACGCTTCAGCACGATTCCTGGCATTCCGACTGTTGACACGGCTTTTGCTGTTGCTGCCGCCCCAGTTGCATACAGAAGCTTTCCAGGCACCACTACAAATACTGCAATGGTTCTACATCTGTATGACTTTGTTGGGATCACAAATGCATGCTTGATACTTGAGCTTCTGCATTTACCGTTTAAACACATAGGCATGTGAATGCAAGCATAAGCACAGACATGAACATTAATCTCGGGTCGTCGAACTGCAAACCTTTAACTCCTACTAGCTGGATGGCCAAAGTTGTGGAAGGTGCGATAAACTGTGGAAATCCGACTCAGAATCAGGACCGCTGTGTCAGGGGCTGATTGTTGCCGGGACCCCCCCAAATTTTTCAGGCACACCAGAAGGCTTGCTTTTAAGTTGAGAATCGTATGGACCACGACCGACTTATTGTCGTATCCAAGTACGTATAGTTCCTACGGGATTATCATATCATATAAGCCCACGGCCTGTTCAACTTGTTACGCTCCTACTTTAAAGATGTCTAGCTGGGACTGTGATCCGCCCCTGACCTGTGGGGTATTTTGGAATGCCGGAGCTGAGCCATTTGGAACACTATGGCTGCTGTTGCCACTGCGAGGCATAGTGGCAGATACCGGTGATACAAATGCGACTGCTGTGGTTCTGTCAACATAGCCGTCATTTCGTGTCCAAGTAGTCCCCGCGCGCACACGACAAATGTATAGTATACCTTTGCATGTGTTCCTCTGAATGTGTGAAGGTCCTTGCATCGTTTGTTAGGGTTTATTTGTCACGGCGCGCATGCACCGTTCGGTAGGCAGAGCACGGCGACCAGGCTTGTTTCGACTTTGGAACGTGGCCCCATGTGTTTGAGTGGCCCGGATCCCAGGTGAAGCCGATCTCCTCACATAAGTACAACGGCAAGCACTACGCTGCGGAGCTTCAGGTGGGGTAAGTCACAGCCTGGGCCTTTTATGTGAGGTTTCGAAAAAGCTCTTTTCTTCAAGTTGCTTCTGTTATTTTCCTTCTCGGCCCTTACAGCCAAGCCGAGAGCCTTCGTAGTGTACTGATGTGAGATCTGGGGTTAGCGGTCACACCAAGTTGCTTGAAGCTCTTCCAAGGCCAGGCCTGATACATGAGAGGCAGCAGGCGCGGGCCAGAGAGTGGCAGGACGACTATAGAAGCTGGAAGATCAGTAATGCCATTCCTGAAGGTTCCTCTTATATCTTTTATGATCATACCGGTAACCAAATCAGACCCCACACGCAGAGAATTTACGCAGACTGCCCCGTCCCTCGTTTCCTCCGAGGCTTCGGAAGCACCCTCCCTTGCGCGAATCTTTCAAGCAACATCTGCTGGGGCCGCTTGTGAGGTGGAAGGCATCATGGATGGTGATGGCTTCAACAAGCTTGCCGAGCTTTCCGGGGCTTCTTTGCTTTACATCCGGCTTCATGTCAATTCTGCGAGTCGGAGTGTCTTCTGAAGGCTGAATAGCACCGTGCTGCGGTGTTCGGAGGGTTGCGAGTCGACAGGATGTGCCAGCTGTTTCTTGGTTTCGAGCCGCATGGATCGTCTGTGCAGAATTGGGTTTACATTTGGTGCCAAGCACTATGCTCACAGGCTTCCGCACTGTTGAGGTGCACGCTGGAGGAGATGGTGGACACAGCTCCGGGGATCATGGAGGCCATGGAGGTGAAAGCCATGGCTCGGGCGATGCTGGCCACAGTGACGGTGGTCACAGTTCCGGCGACAGCCACGACAGCCACGACTCTGGCAGCTCCGGTGAGCACGCCGATGACCACTCCGACGGCCACAGTACCGATGGTAGTTTCAGCACAGATATCGGTCACGGCACAGTCGACCACCACGATGACCACGATGCTGGAGATCACGGTGGTCACGGTGGTGCGGCTCGGCTCAGTAGTAACACCTCTCGCGACAGACCTGCATAAGAGGTAGAGAGCGGAGGGCTCGAGATTGATTGCGATTTTGGGATAGTACCTGCAACTTCTGCATGCCGAGCGTTGTCGTCGGTTTTCTATCACCGCCAGTGCTGTAAACGCGGCTGCGACCTACCAACCACTAACAGCATCTGATACGCCTTCAATGTTGAGCCCAAAACTTGCATATTCCATCCTGACCGGTGCACTTGGAAGTTTCACAAAAACGAGGGCCCATAGGTAGGATTCGCAGAAGGACCCCGAAACACAAAACCGCCGAAACCATCCTAAACCCCACCAAGAATCCTCGAACCCCGAACACCAACGCGCCCCGTCCCCATACCACACAATACTATTTTGGGGGTTCCTTATTACAATTGTAGTTTTATATACCCCAATTGGTAAGGCCCTTATGTTAGATAATTGGATTCTTGCACCAAGCAGCACTCAGGGACATCGGCGCCTGCAGGCAGCCGTAGAGGCACCCACCGACAAGTAAATGGACTCTACAGTTAAGGGTGCTGGACATAGATATTCACTGGAGTTGGGCAAGGGGTCTAGGATTGAAAGACCTAGGGCGCGCTGGGGTTCGGGTTTAGGGGTTGAGGGCCGTTGGTTCTGGTTTCGGGACTTACAGCTCCAGGCTTAGCGGCTCGAGTCAAGAACTGATGCAATAGTTTGCCTCTGAAACACAAGGCCTGACACCAGTGATGATGACCACGGGGATGATGCGGATGGGCATCATATTGATGACGACCACATCGGCGCAGCCGTGAGTAGCAACAGCATCTACCTGTTTGTTTGTGGCCGCAGTACTTCCGGGAACATGTGAATCTAGACGACAGAGCCGATGGGAGCACGGACGGTTGGAAAGCGGAGGTAGGACTCTTCGTACAGGCATTGACGAGGTTTGTTGAATGCCCGACTAGTATCTGACTATGTTTGGACTGCCAGGTTGCGCGCTTGTAAACACAGCAATGGAGACACGCCCAAGAAAGCCATTCGTGCAGAGTTTTTTTGTGCCCGGGGTGCCAGCCGGCAGCTGGCTAAAGAGCTGTGAAGTAGTGAGGGGGGAGGGCGAGAGGACAGGGACAGAACTGGCAAGGGCCGTGCAAGACACACGGAGTAGACAGGATCTCCATACCCGTCAAGGGCCCGAGAGAAACGCGACACCAGCTTGGACTATGTTGTGTTAAATTCTGTGCTACATATGATCGAATCCCCGAGGAGCCTCAATTCAGCTAGCCATGTGGGGAAAGGAAGTTGCTTGCCAGTTGCCAGTCAGGTCTTCCACCGCGTCATCTTGAGCGTTCCTATCGAGATCGGCACTGAAACTCCTCAAATCACGGCGGTATGCACACCAGATGTTGCAAGACAACCCTTTTGCTTGACATGACAAACAGCATCAACCTAGCTCAGTTGCCTCACAAATGGTTGAGCACTGGATAAGCTGGTTTTTCCATTGTCTGTTCACCTTTGCATGCAGTTTCTATTGGCAGGGATACAGCCCGAAACGTCCGACACTGCATGCTGAGGAAAACTCGCTCCTACGTGAATTGGGTCTGCCGTTCGATGCGTGACTTGGGTTCAGCACAGTCACCAACCGACCCGTCCTCCAGCCCTAAACTGCGAGACAGAATCCTCAACACTAAGCCGGAAGAGTAGCTCTTCAGCATCGGATAGGACCCGTAAGAGCGTTGCCCTTAGGGTCATAGATCCTAAGCTAGGAATTTGGCACCCCGATACAGACTCCCCGAAACCCCAAACCCTGACCCCTAAGCCTCATGTCATCAACCAATGCTTCACCCCGTGTATATGTATATATACATGTGTGTATATGTACACATAAATAAACAAATAAATAAATAAATAAATATATATATATATACGTATATATATTCTGCATATATATACATACATACATACATACATACATACATACATATATATATATAGGAGCTAAGGGTTGAAGTTGACTCAACGACACCGGTGCTTCGAGGTGTTTATTCCAGCAGTTAGGGTCAGGTTCTAGGGTTTAGGGCCTAGGATTTAGGCTATTGAGGGTTTGGTGTCAGGTTCTAGGACGGCTCTCGGAAAAAATCGGAAACGATAGGGAGGGCCCGGAGGCTTTTTGTTCGACACGAGCTCGAAAAAGTTTCTTAGAGTCCCTTATCCACCTTAACCCTACACCCATGTACCCTGCAAAGCGGGCTCGTCCTAGCAAGGTGGGAGGCAAAAGAACTCTGAGAGCTGCGGAGAGTTTCTTTGGTGGTTTTTCAGGTTCTCCGACGGTTGAATCAGGGCTTGCAAAAGGGATCCTGAGGCTTTGGGGTACATCTCCTCGGAACCTCCGGGTTTCTGCGGCTTCTTGGGTGCAGCAGACCCCCTTAGTGAGGCCAGAAGGCCCCGCACCCCATTTGTTTAGGGTTTAGGGTTTCGGGTTTAGAGTTCAGGGTATACTTAGCAGGGTTTAGGGTTTAGGTTTTTTTTTGGGTTCATGTGCTCAGGTACAAGGATTCGATCAGTGCCATGCACCCATACCAAATCGAGAACACCGTCAACCTGCGAAGCGCGCTCTCGAAGGCCTGCAGGGGGGGGGGGTGGCCTTTGAGTCCCCAGCCATGGTTCAGGGCTGTGAGGTTTAGGCTCTAGGCATCGATTGCTCGGTTATCTAGCCTTGGGTGTCTTTTTTGCCATCCGGACGCCGACGTGTCCTGAGTGCATGCTGCCCAGCACCACCCCTCCCTCGCATCCTCAGGGTCTCAAACCCTCCAGCCCCGAGCCCTTAGTACCCTAAACCTTGAGTTTGAAACCCTTTTGAAACCGGACATGATGACTGAAATCCAAAAAACCCCCTTAACAAAAAACCCACACCCTATCGCACGCGAGCAGTCTCAGCTTGACTCTGACATCCCTGAGGCATTGGACGGGCCCTGGATGTGGTACAGAGGCCAACTGGGTAGCTGCCGAAACCCAAAAACGCCCCAAAAGAGCCGAGGCGTTGCCTAAACCCCTGGAAAAAAACCTTAACACATCTCAGCCTCAGCTTTTTGGGGGTTTCGGGGGAAGGAAGGGCACAAGGCCCTAGGTTACCACGAAGCCACGAAAACCTCCTCCTCCCCCCCCTTTCTCTGAAGATCCGGCCCTTGCTTTCCAAGGGGGGGGGGGGTCGATGTTTTGCTGACATGTGGGGTTCACCGAAGACAGTCCTGGGGGCGGGAGTGCAGAAACCCTGCTCACGGCCCTAAAGGCACTAAACCCAGCAACTCCTAAGCTTTCAGGCGGGATGGTGACCCCAGGATGTCCCGACTGGGGCGTCCGATGGCTGATGCTGCAGTGCCTTTGGCTCCGGTTAGCAGATGCAAAGCAGATCCCCAACCATCAAACTCATCCTTGTCTAGGACCCTTTACAGATATGACAGGGTTTGAGGGAGCAGTATACCTAGAATTCAGCAAGCATCAGCACTATTCATTCTGGCCTTCGAAGTGCCTTGAAACCTTCTGGCACCTTGGGCTCAAGAGGGACTGCTTTCTCTCTTCCCTGCTGTTTCTCCCTGCCGATGCCTGAACCGCATGGGGTTGTTCCAACCACCGGGGTTTAGGTATCAGAGTGGTCCGAGCTGTGAAGAAGAGCCCTGTAGCATCCTCAGGACCCCTCTGCAAGCAAGCTTTCTGCAGCTGAACTTCTTGGACATGAAGGCCGAGCAGTGTCGCAGTAGAGAAGCTCAAGGGGAATTTTTTGCCGGGCATTTCTGGAAGACCCGGGTTCGGGCCTCGTTCCTGCTTAAAGCGAGGCCCCGTGGGAGCTCGGAGCCTCGTGCTTTCTAGGCATTCGGTGATTCGGTGGGGTGAGTGGGAGGCTTTAAGTCGCGCTCCACATGGATCGCCGTCCACCTGGGGTGGAGCATATGTATATACCACGTGGACCTGAGAAAGGACTGCGGATGCCAGCATGCCGTTGTTTCTGAGCTATCCTTCAAGACTGGGTTGTCCCACAAGGATTTGGGGCGCTTCCGTTCAAGGCCGTTCATCCGAGAAATGTCCGGTGGCACTGCTTCGCAGCTCCGTACACCGACGCCAGAGCACGTCAGCCTTTTCTTCTAGGTAGAGTCCCCCCGCCACTATAAGCTGTGCCCCAATCTAAGACCTACCTAGGCCAGAAAGCTTCACTGCGAGTGCAGAAACCCGAAGCATGAATACAATGGCCCAGCCCAACAGTTCGTGCCGAGCTGGCAGGTGTCAGGCATGGACTCCACACGAGTGTTCCCGGTGGAGATGGATGACGCGACATACAAGGCACTATGCTGACTACACCCTAAACCCCGAAGCGCGTCTGGGTGGTCCGAGTGTGAGCGCCGAAAGCTGTGTTTTGGGGGATTAGTTTCGGGCAATTTTCTGAGGTAGCAGCTGTATTTGAGGTGAGCAAAGGTTCCTCCGTGTGCCGAGGTTCGGCTGATTTGCAACCATGCTCGATGCCTTGCAGTGTGATTTTGCACCATGCCCGATCTTTCAATTTCAAAGTCAGGGGGCCTGACGTCGTTTCGACAACGTGGGAATGGTTCTCGCCTTAATTCACCCTGCATTAAGACAGGGTCTGGAATTGTTTGAGTCTTCGGCTTTACGCATTAGAGCTAAAGCCCAAATGGACCCATCGGCCTGTCAGGCCACCGTGTTCAAGCAGAGCTTGCCAATGATGGCAGTAGACAAGCACAGCACGTGCGACGAACACGAGGTGGCAGGGGCTTAAGGTCTTCTTCAGCCTCGGGTGTGCTTAAAGCTGAACTGACGGGTTCTGGGTTTCGGGCGTCACGATTTTTGCCGTCTCTGTCACAACATCGTGGTCGTAGTAGCGGTAGTCATAGTCGTTGTCGTCGTGGTGGTAGGTGTAGCGGCAGCAAGGCAGCAGTAGGTAGTCCAGGTAGTAAGCAGCAAGCAGTATAAGTCAGTAGGTAACCAGTAAGTAGTACAGCCTAAGATGTCCTATTGCGCGCTGTGTTTGTCGTAGCTTAGGTGGGAGTGCAAGCAGCAGCTGCTGCTGCCACTGCTGCTGCTACTACTCCTACTCCTACTCCTCTACTCTACTCCTACTCCTGCGACGACGACCAGTGAGGTTGCTCTGATGGCGATGGAGCCAATGATAGCCGACTGGGACCTCTAGCTAGACACTAGACGACGTGTCTTCCTATGCGGAGGAGTGGAACTACGACAACCCAAGCTGCTGGGCCCAGAAGACTCTCGATCGCACCCATTGCGGCAGAGCATTGGATGGCTAGGAAAGCGAGCAGCCCTGTAGCGCCAGCAAGCATGGAGATTGTCACAGCGTGCGAGTGCCTCACGGGAATTGACAAGCCATATCCTCGCGAAAACCCAAGCTCCCAGAAGCTCAAACGACTGTAACATGAAAAATTAGTAACAGTAGTAATCAGAATAACAAGAATAGTAGTAACAATAGAAGAAGGACAATAGTCATAGTCAAACCTGGCCATGTCCTGCGCAGAATGCCCAGGCATCCGATCTGCGCCCAGGGGGCGCTGCAATCGCCGATTCACATCGAGAGGCGGCGGAAGCCTTGCAATGGGCCCGCCTTCGTCCTTCCAAGCTTAAACCTCAAAGCCCGAAGTGGTCCGAGGGTCATGTGCCAGTATCATGCCGACCAGACTCCTTGGAACCTCGCCTGGCTTGCCCGAGCTGTGAGAGCGTAAATTCCCCGTAGGGCAAAGAGGTTTGGGCTGCGGCCGTTGCGAATGGGGTACTGCGGCATTCAGCTGCAGGTCGACAGTGACAACGCAGGGCAAGGACAATTTCCTGAACAAGTGCAGCTGGCGTCCGGTGACTGGGTTCTGGTTTATTTTCCTTCAGCCTACGGTACCAGAACAGGGGTTTGTAGAATTCTCGTTGAGAGCTCAAGTATTGACGATATTCCCGGTTATGGATCTCCGGTTAAGTTACCCTAACGGCCCTAACAAGAACACAGTATAGTCCACACAACCCTATGATGGTGGCTCAGAGTCCCTAAGCAGTAAAACTTCTGAGGCCTTTGAAACTGGAGTGAGCAAACTGCTGTTGACTTTGTGAGTTTTCTGAGTGCCTTTGTCTCCCAGACATGCGATGCTGCAGCGGCACAACTCGGTGGAGCTTCTGCATCGGCAGTTTCTTTCTGTTCTTGCGTCATGCTTGACTTTGGCTACTATACAATGTGATAGTAATTGGACCTGTGGTCAGCATTTCAGCACTCTGACCACCTTGTGAATGTGGGTGAGTTGCGTAACCCGAGCCAAGGTGACCGGCTTGCATGTCGTGCCCGCGCCCCAGGAGTGAACACACTGAATGGATTTTGAGGGTCGAGGAGCTAATGTACCATTGTTGGCCATAGTAGTCTGTACCATAAGATACCCAAACATGCCGTGACATAATCATAAGATACCACCAAAGATCATAGGATGCCAAAAGACGCCATAAGATACCAAGAAGTACCGTAGTATATCATAGTAAATCAGTCACATGTAGGATTTTCAGACAAGAACGGACCCCAACGCTGTCGTGGGTTTCGAGATCAGCGACCGTCTTCACCATGCTGCCCAACCCTACATAGTAGAATCAACGAAGAGGCACCCCCCCCCCCCGCCCGGTTTCCCGAAACTCCCACTTGATGCTGGTTGCGCACCTCGATTCCCAGTCTAGACTTGGTCTATCATGTCACAGCTCAAAACTATGCATATCATGAATAACTAATATCAGTATGATAATGATGATGATGAGAAGACGAATAACAACATGATCACCAATAGCAAGTACCCTCAACTTCAGGCGCCTCTGCGCTCTAGCGTCAGATCCCCCCATCGACCGCGGGGGGTGCCTCGGAACCTGCCCCCTTTCAGCTCTGACTTCCGGGTCCGAGGAGGCTGCGTAGTCAAGGATCCAAGGAATCTGTTCCGACCTGTAATCTTGAGGGCTGCTCAGGTTATGTTGCCTGGTTGCACTACGTCGTGAGACCAAAGGCTCCACAACCGAGCCACAAAGTAAAGTGAGAGATTTGGCCCAGGGCCATCCCTCGTACGTCCGGGTCTTGCTCTGCGCTTGCATCCTTCAGTCATTATGTGTGTCATTGCCTGTCAGCTCTCTGGGGATGTACAGATCCAAAGCCCTGTAGACGAACTTGACGCCCCAGCACGAAGCACTGCATCCAGACATCGCCGGAGCCCCGTCTCATCACGTGCCTGCTGAATATGTAGCGGTTCCCTTCTGGAGAAGGTTCCGTATCTAGTGACCGCACATCAAAAAGCACCAATTCTATTTACCCCAGCCCAAGCCTGAAGCCTGCAGCATAAGCTGAGTCGAACCCGCAATCCGTCGGGCTTGGACATCCTAGGAATTTTGGAAAGGGCCTCGCCATTCCGACCAACCAGATCGGCAGCTTGCTTGATAGAGTGTAGAGTGTAGACTTTCTGTGGCCCATCCAAAAGGATGTATCGACTTTACGCTCTAGTCGTCGTCGCCGTCGTCGTAGTAGTAGTCGTCGTCGTAGTCGTCGTCGTCGTAGTCGTCGTCGTCGTAGTCGTCGTCGTCGTAGTAGTCGTAGTAGTCGTAGTAGTCGTAGTAGTCGTCGTAGTACTAGTAGTAGTAGTAGTAGTAGTAGTAGTAGCAGCAGCAGCAGCAGCAGCAGCAGCAGCAGTAACAACAGTAATAGGGATAATATTAAAAATTAAGAAGCTTTGCAGTAAGATGTAGGTTGTTTGAGGCGATGAGCAAATGAATCTTGTATGTCCCCTGGCAAGGCAAATTTCATGACAGAGAAAGCATGGGGAATCTGGGGTTTAAGATGCAAGGAGGTAAAGAGAGAGCGGGGGAGCGGTGTTTCTGAGTGTCGGGAGCTGGACATCGTGGAGAACTGGGCCAATTTGGGTTCGGGCCCAGACGACAGAAGTAGAGGGTTTCGCACATCGAATCGTGGTAGCACTAGCAGCTTGTGAGTCGATCTTGGGTCATCCGGCGGTTTAGCCCCACCAATAGCTGAGTAGTATGTATTACTACTATCAGCAGTTATTAGTATTTTCTTTACTGTTATTGCTACTAGTAGTGTAATTCTTCTTATGATTATTATTGTGATTATTATCATTTTTCATCTATTACTATGGTCATTATCACAGACGTATAGCGAGGCTACATCACGCTGACTGGCGAGGACTGACCACCCCTGTCTGGGATCCGACGGGAAAGGGGGCTCATGCTGCTGCTGCTGCTGCTGTTGCTGCTGCTGCCACTAGTGACTAGTAACAAATACTAGTACTGTGCTGCTGGCAGGAGTAGATTAGCACTGGCACTGCAGCAGTACCGGTGCTCGGGCATAGCGCCAAGCACCAACGGACGACGGCGACGGCGGCGACGACGATGGCGACGACGAATGGTCCTGAGCCACTTCTGATTGAAAGCGGCAGGATGGCTTTCCCGACTTCTTCGAGGCCCGGGGACCAAGTTTCGGTTTCGGGGGCCAGAGCGTGGCTCCCAGTCCCCACCTCGGCCCACCTCCATCACCGGGTTGCTTGAGTGAAGCGTCCTTTCGAGGATGCAGCTTCTTTGTTTTCAGGATGCTAGCTGGTTTCAGCCCCCTGCTGTTGATTGTAGGAGGTTTCTTGGGATCCACGCAAGGGTGGCGCACGAACCCAGCTTCTTCGCCTTCGGCATGTGGGACTTTTGTGGGATCTTCGCTGTCATGGCATTCCGAAATCTCGACCCACAGGTTGTGCAGTTGCAGCTGCACATGCCCTCGGAGCACATGATCGATGGCAAGAGTTTCGCTGCTGAGCTTCAGGTCGTGCACAGGCAGGATGGGTTTTGGGCCCATCTCGACACAGCGCCTCCTGCCACGACTCAATCCTAGACATCTGCGTTCTAGATGATATATCTATAGCATGGCACTGTAGAGTACCCCCTCCGGGGTCTCTGCTGCCTCATGGAGGCTCTGCAGGAGTCAACAAAAATGATTAGTTTACCAACGTCCCTGAATGCCCTGAATCGTCTCGGTTGAGTTGTTTTTGAATTGAAGGCCCTTAAGTCCCTAAACCCTTCCAGCCCCTGCGCCCGAAAATGCCGACAGCTGCACGGAATCTATGATGCGGGTTCAGGGTTTGAGTTTGGCGAAGTGAGAAACTACAGTTGGTTCCTGACGGTTAGATTTTGGTCGTGGGGATTTTAGGCTCAAACTTGATTGGCAAAACGTGATATTGTGGTTGACATGGCAAGCACCTGGCACTTTGCCATGAGTTTCCGACAGGCATCAGGCGTCGGTGACGCAAGGAGTCAACAGCGCGGACTCTTTCCCCTTCGTTCTTTGGCGGCATTTCTGAATGTAAATCTCACGAGGGGCTCGGGAGGGAGATCTTGGTGAAAGGGATGGGGTCTTTGAACTCAGACCATGCCCTTCGTGCTGCCGGGCCAGTGATACATCGGAATCGTGTATGATCCACTAACTGGGGAATCATGATGAGCTTCACTTGCCGCTGTGAATCGGAGGAATCAAAGGAACCACCGACACCAACCCGGTACCATGGTGAATGTTCGGGAGAGCATACTTTCATGGGTAGTTGTCTCTCCGCTTCGCTGGCGCTTTCTTTCTCAAAAGAAAGCGAAGAAATCAAGCATCACCAGCACGTCGGTGACCCAGAGACGCAGACGAACTTTGATGCTGCCTAACCTTCTTGAGTCTAAGCCTATGTCGCACTTGGTCAACCTGCCCTATGCCTCCTTTCCTGTGCCGACCCTACAGTGCCAACCCATCCACGCGTGTCAGCGCCCGGGGCCTTCCGATGTTGCAGGAGCCTGTCTCTGTGTTCGGTTTTTCATATTGCCTGACACAAGGTCACGGCTTCTTTCATGTTCCAGATGGGCGATAAGGACAGTGGCCAGACATGCAAGGACTTCGGTCTGTGTGTTCGCTCTTTTACCACTGTCAACGAAACAGATTGCGAGTCAGTGGCAGATAGTGCATGTCATCCGTGTTCGGTGTCAGCTACCGCGCACGATGGGTTCCTGTAGAGCATCTACCAGGGAGCTAGGAACCTTCTGAAGATCTGCAGCTCCTGCAATGTTTTGGAGATTGCCACACAGCGATGGAAGAAGCACGACATGAACCACGGCCACGGCTGAAGGCATCGCAAGAAGGACAATAACCTGCCGCTGCTGTTAGCAACAGCATTTACAGCAACATGAGAGACAGCAGCAGCAGCAGCAGCAGCAGCAGCAGCAGCAGCAGCAGGAGCAGGAGCAGCAGCAGCAGCAGCAGCAGCAGCAGCAGTAGCAGGAGGAGGACCAGGAACAGCGGCAACAACTTCAGCAGCAGCGGCGACGACGACCCAGTGCGAAGAAGACACAGCAGCACAACACTTTCAGCGTTGGCCGCAGCAGCAGCAGCAGCAGCAGCAGCCGCAGTAGCAGAAGTGGCAGCAGGAGCAAGAGCAAATCTACATGGACAACAAACCAAAGTCACAACCACAAGCGCAGCAAAAGCAGCATTAAAAATCGTTGCTGTAGTCACCGCGTTTCGGGGCTGAAAGGTCAGCTCGCGCCAGGTAGTTCTTGTGCGCGCTCTGATGCTGGCGGCTTTCCGGTGGTCGTAAACGTTCTTGAAGTGGTTGGGGCCATGGTTTTGGCGTTGGTATTGTTGATGCTGCAGCTGATAGATTGTGCAGGGCAGCTGTCATTAGTGAGCTTTCGTCCAGGGTGATGCAGATGATGCTGATTACAAGGTGTGTTTACGATGTAAAGCTAGACGACAGCTGATGTTAGGAGAGGTGTCAACAGTGCCCAGTGTCGTGCAAGGTGCGCTTCTGAAGCAGTGCCTGGGCGTGGAATAGTCGTGGAGAGAGCATGGCTGCAACGACACCTGAAGCCATAATCGACAAGCCGGAACACTGCAGAAATACCATCCCAAATCCTCCTCTTCCGATCGCACAGTTCGAATTCAACTGGCGCGCGTCATCGAAGAGCCGTTGCGCTTGAGGCCTCCTATGTAACATCATTGAGCATGCCTCGGTCATGTAAGGTTGAACCACTGGGATTGATGCTGATGCCAGTGCTGTTACCGATGGGCACAAACGAAGACTGGCCGTCATGCTGCTGCTGATGCTAGTGACGCTGACGATGATTGATGAAGGATGATGACCATGGCCATCATCGCAACCTTGATCATGCTGATGAGATATAGGATGAGGATCTGCGAAACTGAACAAGAAGGAGAAGAAGATCATCATGATGAGTGCAGTGAGCGCAGGGGAATGCGCTGCAAAGGCTTCGAGCTACAGGCGGCATGGGCGATCTGTGAAGAAGCATCACTTCCAGTTGCCGCCTCGTTTCGGGAAGTACAGCGAACACTTCCCAGCTGGAACTCGCTGAGGTTCTTCCTCCCCGGCGTCCTTGAGCCAAACACCTTCCGCAGCATGGCGAATGAAGAGCGCTCAAGCAATAGGTTTCCAGGGTTTACGCTGATAACCCGGCAACGCCCCAAGAGGCCTGGCTGCAAAGAGGGTTCAATAACGGTTGTCCGGATGCAGCGGAGGTGGAAGCAGCACTTCAAAACCGTCATAACTCCTTAAAGCGCGAACCCTTGCAAGCAACCTCAAACCTCAGGCGGGGCCCAGTGCGATCCGCAACCCGAAACACTCATCAGACCTCGAAGCGCATGCCTCGCCGGGAGTGTGCGAGTGTGAGCGCCGAAACCCCTTCAAGCACCCTCAAAGCAACCCTTTCAGAGCCTTCAAAGTACGTAGACCTTCTAGTCATAGGGACCCTTAGTGGTGGTAGGGGGGGGGCAGGGGTAGTGGATTATATTTCCTTTCATAGGCCTGACGAGGTCCCTATCTCTGGTATAAAGGCCCCCTACCACGCCAAGGGTCCCTATGATTCGATGATCTAGTAAGCCCTTCCGGTAACCCCAACGAACCCGGCTAGTAGGAACCCAGAAGGATCAGGCCATAGATGCAGGAGTTGGCTCTTCGTGCAAGTTGAGAGGTCTGAATTACAGTAGTTCCTCTAGGCTTTTGTCAGCTTCCATAAGGGGTTTGAGCCAGTGGTTGATACATAGAAATCCGATGCATTGACAGCGGTCTTCCCTTGTCGTCTTCTCCCTTGTCCCCGGCGCATTGGGAAGGGGTGGGGACATCCTTGCATTATGCATGCCCGCCGGGCGCATTGGCCCATCGAGAAGGGGCCTTGGGACCCGCTCTCCTTGGGGCTCCAAGTTTGGGCGAAAGTTCGTCGCACTCGGGGTAGGAAGAAACTCCAAGAAAGCCAGAAAAGGGGGATCCTGGGCAGCAACCCAACGCAACCCTCGACCATGAATCCTGAACTCCAAACCCCTCAGCCCTAAAGCGTATCACCCCAAGGTGAGAATGAGATTGCGGTTGACTTGATGCGCT